GAGTTCATCTTGAAAAATAGCAAACATGGCGAAAATCTCCAAGGTTTTACTCACGATTCAGGATTTTCAGAGACACTTCACTCTCAATGCATTTCTTCGTGTATAAACTTTGTTGTCCTTTTAAATGATTCATTGAATTATATTTCTTGTCTTGATTGTTTATCAAGATCTCTTTCTTATCGCTTTACCGGTCGTTGTTTTCAGTGTACATGAACATCGCATCCAAGGGTACTCAAAGTGCTGGGTGTATCAAATCAATATGATGTTTTAGAAGTAAAATGGAAACGAAAATGATTCTGGGACCTCTTCATACCAGTGTTCATTCAAACACGTGACTGCTCGCACTGTAAGTTTGAAGCTTAGCAAAATTCAGCATTGGCTGAGCGAACGGGTGATTTTGGAAATTAAATTAAAAAAAGATTTTTTCGAAAGTTTTTGTTCAAAGCCCATTATTACCCTGCATACCACATAAGAGCAGAATGAACTGACTGAACAACCCCCTCTGATGGTGATTCTCCATATAAAAACGTTTTCTGTTGTTGTCATTTTTAATTTGTTGTGGAAGGGAAGCGCGCGCTTCGATCGTCCCAAATATTGAATGAGTGCAATTTGTCTTGTATTGCCTGCGTCGCAGACGCTCTAAACCTTCCATTCGGTATATACAAATGGTTTAGACAAGTGCGTGGGCAGGCTGCAACGCAGGCTAGTCTTGTACTATTATTCTGTAAAAAAAACTGCAGAATAGAGAGGAGAAGTCGTTACGTCACGTTAAAAAAAAGGTTAAAAAAAAAAGAAAAAAAAGGTTAAAGGCATGTTTATAGTGGAAGGTGCACTTAGCTACTCAGCTAATTTACAGGCACTCCACTCAAATATTTAGAAACAAATAATTCAAATACAACATAACAGGATTAAAAACCCCAACTGGCAGAAGGCAACCAGTTGCTATTTACAAGCGTGGCCGAGAATTTGAACTCGGGACGACCGAGCACAAATCCAGCAAGTGGCCAGAGCGGGACTCGAAGCCGGGACCGCCGGATTGCGAGTCCGACGCGCTGACCACTCGGCCACGTTGCCATGGTAGCAAAATTTCTGGATGACAACAAACCAAAACGTTATTTAAAAAGTGGATTCCCACTGTTTCAAACTTCGTCGATCTAATTTTTCTATCTAATTTGATTATTGTTGGCGAAATGTTCCGGGTTAAATCCGAAAGGACCGTACCTAAGTTTAGAAAAAGAAAAAGGAAATTTCTGTGTTGTGCTCAGCTAATCCATAAAGCGGGCGCGTGAAATTGGGAAGTTTCATGTCGCAGTCGTGCAACCACGGCTAAGAAATGTACAAAAAAGCGTGATGCACGTGCAAAGTTGTTTTTTTGCTGTTCGCCGTCGCCGTTGCGAAAACTCCCTATTGTTGTGATCCAAAAAATTTTGCTACCATGGTAAGGTGACGTCACACTTCTCCTCTCTATTAATAATGGTAATAGGACTGAGTGGAGTCCAATTTGGTCTGTAATCATACGAGTGGTGAACAAAATCGGTCGACCGCGTAGCGGGAGTCCGCTTTGTTTAATCACTAGTATGATTACAGACCGAATTAAACGACACGAAGTTCTGCTACCAATTAAATGCCGAGAGGTTTTTCGGCTAGCGGTGAAAAAAAAAATGCCATTCAAGCGCGCTCGTGATGGCGCGTACTGTCCTTTTACATAGGTATGACACGTACTGTCCTATTAGTGCTGAAATCAGGGACAGTTCATAGCCTATCAGATTTGAATTTTGTTATAGGCAAAAAATGAAAAATTCTGCCCGAGCTCTGAACGATAAACAAACAACGCCTGATAGTTCTGTTTACCTCGGAGGTGATTTAAATGCTGCTTTACGCGCTAACAGATTTGTAAAGTGAACTTGTAGCGAGCCACACAAAAAAAATTCGGCCTGATTTTTTATTAATTTGGCCTTTCCTTTAGACAGAGAGACAAAACCGATAAGTCAGGACCATCATGCCATGTGTTACCCGGCCGAACTGACCGGTTCTCAGAATTCGTGTCAGTTAAATATTCGCCGTATATCGATTGTGTGTAATGATGTGTATGCGATTTCTACCATATTACTACTTTATTATATTTATGTCTTTATCTTTATATATTTATATGTAATAATTGTATGTTTGTAAGTGCTTTGCCTGACCCTACCTGTAATTCAGAGAAATCTGCGAATGGTGGAAATAAACAAATATTATTATTGTTGTTATTATTATTATTATTATTATTATTATTATTATTATTATTATTATTATTATTATAACGCGTATATTTGCTACCACCGAGGACTACCGTGTCTTAACTGCCTTTATAGCATAAAATTATATTTCGGGACTGTCTAATTAGCCTTATAAAATAAAGGTGGTGTAGTTGGGCAAATAGGTCATTTTGATTTGTTTTTCACGCCTAATCTACTGTGGTCAAAGATGATTGCTACTTATTTGGTGTAGATATAGAGCGGTTTTCATTTGAGTGTCGAAAAGTAATTGGTTTTGCACTTTCTACACGATGCGATTGGCTTAAAAGATTCGCGCCACCTTTTCATCCAATCAGAAGTAAGACCAAAGCCAATTGTGACGCGCACGCATGCATTTTCCCGCGCTTTGCGTCAGCCACATGTAATTACTTCGAGTTTTGATTGGTTCAATGTATTGTCTGTGTCCTATGTGATTGGCCAGAGTAATTACTTTGGTTTTGGTTTTACGACACTCAAACGAAAACCACTCTAAGACTATTAACTGATGTAAGATTTTAGACGTTGTTTTATTCTTGCACTGTTTGCAAATTATTTTTTCTCTAAAATCACCAAACCCCACCCTTAAAAGTCATATGGATCTCCCCAGTTAACTGATTTGTGGATTACAAGTTTATTACTTTATTTAAATCATAAAGTTATTCACTAGAGCTACGCTTTTGGCCCTAGCTTCGAACAACATATAAGGGGTGGTCAATCTCGGGAGTGAAACGCCGGGAAATCTCGTTAATGTCACCAAAGCTAAAATCTTATCAGCTTGGTTTTAAAAGACCTCGTTGAATGGAAGAACATGTGGATGGAAGGTTAGCCGTAAATAGAGAAGTTCGATCTGTGTGCCTGTCGGCCATATCAAGTGCTAATTACATTGAATATATTCAACACGGTTTCTTTCTTGACGATCTGTCTTATGCTTGTGGATCAAATTTTTCCAGCACGTTATGTGGATGGAGGTTTAGCCGTAAATAAATTTCGTTTTGTGTGCCTATGTCGGCCATATTTTAAGTGCTAATTACATTAACAGATATATTAGTAGTTGAAAGTTTGTTCTGAGTGAAACTATATCTTTTTCCTTATGGCCTGACAATGCATATTTTAAAAGAAGCCGTTGATGGAAAACTAGCGACGCTTGAGTAATTTGAAACGGAAAACGACGCCTTCGGTATCAGTTCGGCAACTGCTTTTTCACTAAGGTTGGTCGAAATTCACTTCAGTGAGAAGTCGAGCGTCACAAAGATTAAACGATATAATATTGCAGTTTCACAACTTTACTTGTCGTCGGTGTTTTACTAAATTCTAATCCTCACTATTTATTCTCTACATAATAAAGACCTCGTTGAATGGGGTAAAATGTGGATAGAAGTTAGCCGTAAATACTTTTCGTTTTGTGTGCCTATGTCGGCCATATTAAGTGCTAATTACACTGATCGATACATTAGTAGTTGAACAGTTATTTTAAGTAAAAAAATATTCTTCTCCACTTATTTCCTTGAAAGGCAGCATATATGACCATCATCGACTTCGGCATTTGATTCTTTAAAGGTAGCAGAACTTAACTTTCTTGAGACTTCGGAATCACGAAGGTGAAAAAGAGACGATTGCAAATTCGCAAAGTCTTATAGTCGGCATTGTATCGAATTTTACCAAATTTTAATCTCCCTACTTTATCTTCAATATCATTAAGACCTCGTTCAACAAGGTAAAATGTGGATGGAAGTTTAGCCGTAAATAAATTTCGTTTTGTGTGCCTTAAGTGACGGCCATATAAAGTGCTCGTTACGTTGACACCCCACATTAGTACTTGAACGTTGGTTCTGAGTAAAAATAAATTTCTCGCAAGATGACCTGAAAAGCCATGTTAACAAGGTAGCCGTTGATGGAAAACAAGCGATTTTTAAGTAAGCTCAAATTGGGCAATTCTTCAATGTCGGTCGAAGTCAACCTCCGTGAGAGTATCATGAAGCTCAAAAGGAGATGACTGCAGTTTCACAAAGTTTTATAGTCAGTGTTTTATCGAATTATAATCCCCAAAATTTATCCTTTGTATAATTAAGACGTCGTTGATGAATGAGGCAAAATGTGGATGGGAGTTTAACCGTTAATAAGAAAATTTCGATTTGTGTGCCTGTGTCGGCCATGTTAAGTGCTAATTACATTGACATATTCAACAAGAAGATTCATCAATCAATATTAAGCCGTACGGCCACTCATCTGTAGATCGATTCTATTCATTTTTTTGGAACGAGTGAATATTTAAACTTAAAAATCTGACTAAGGACTTACGCTCAAAACGTCAACTTTCGAGTCTTTTTTGTAGCTAAATATTTAGTCCATCAACTCGGATGACAAAATTAATGACTTTATCATTATTACTATCAATTCTATTATTATTATTATTATAATCGTCATCATCGTTCAATTCATGATCATCAGTAGCTCACAATCGCCCTTAAAAGTTCCTTCGTCCTTCGTTAAGAAGCATATAACGTATGCAATGATATATCTTTCGACATGAAATTAGAGCGTTTTTTTTTCTTTCCTGTCCTTTTGTGTTGTGGACAACCTTCAGAAATTCAAATGTCAAATTTATCAGAGTTATTGTGTAGGATCTCTTTACCGTCTCTTGATTTACAATTACATTTACCATGACTTTCTTGATTTGAAATTGAAGTCCCGCCCATTAAAGTCAAAAACTGCACGTCTGTCGGCTCACCGAGGAAGGCGGCCCCTCCGGTTCGCGACCGCTCTTGCCGGCCTCTCTTTCAGTATACCATAATAAATTAGAGGATTCAAAACATAGTTGTAATATCCAACGGTTGATGTTATCGCCAATGCGTTTTTTAAAATAATGTCCCTATGAACACCTGACGCTAATAAACCAGAGCAAATAAACTGTGGCATCCAACAAGCGACACACACACCACTGATCTTATAAGTCAGCCATGTCAGTTTGTTTTCTTGACGCCTGTGAAGGGTCGCTGCATTAGGCAAAGTAGACGAGCGAATCGTTCTGATAACGCGAATAGCGGTTACAATAACAATAATTAAGGTAACCGCATTTAAAACGTTGCCCATGATATAATAGATAAAAATGGCGTTGTGCGTCAGCTCTGACAACTTGGAAAAAAAAGTTCCGAGGCTAAATGTAGACAAAACAATAAAAAATAAAACTGAAGTTAAAAATAGAGCGCCTATCCATTTTCCAGTTATGATAAATTTCACATTGCTTGGCTTCATGCGTCGGTTAAACGGACGCAGGACACAATCTTGTCGATCAATTGCCATTAGAGATAAGGTCACACAATTGACAACTGCGCAAAGAAAGCTACTCGGTACCGCGATACAAAAAGCGGGTTTAGCATAATCTATCCTGTCTAGTCTAGCAAAGGCGAGCATTGCTAAGCGAAAAGGGAGACTGAAGACAGATGAAATGATTCCATTAACTGCTAAACTGGCGAATAAAAAGTGGGGAACCTTTCGTAGGTCTTGACGCTGAACGAAAAAATAACAAACTTTTGCGTTTCCTGCAAATCCTATGACGATGGCGATCAAAAACAGCGTCAGGTTTATGATGATTGTTCCTTGAACAGCTACCGCTGAACGTGAAACGTTGAAACTTGACCGATTCATTTGAACTCTCTTATTTGATTCACTCTTCAGTTATGAAGTATTCCTGACGCTTTTTCTGCTTGAGCTCTCGCCTATGCTTAAGTGAATACTCTACCTTAATAAGTTCATTGCAGTTTCACGCCGTTTTTTAAAGGACGGTGTTTATTGAATTTTAATCCTCAGAATTTATCCTTGATTGGACCTNGCGATACAAAAAGCGGGTTTAGCATAATCTATCCTGTCTAGTCTAGCAAAGGCGAGCATTGCTAAGCGAAAAGGGAGACTGAAGACAGATGAAATGATTCCATTAACTGCTAAACTGGCGAATAAAAAGTGGGGAACCTTTCGTAGGTCTTGACGCTGAACGAAAAAATAACAAACTTTTGCGTTTCCTGCAAATCCTATGACGATGGCGATCAAAAACAGCGTCAGGTTTATGATGATTGTTCCTTGAGCAGCTACCGCTGAACGTGAAACGTTGAAACTTGACCGATTCATTTGAACTCTCTTATTTGATTCACTCTTCAGTTATGAAGTATTCCTGACGCTTTTTCTGCTTGAGCTCTCGCCTATGCTTAAGTGAATACTCTACCTTAATAAGTTCATTGCAGTTTCACGCCGTTTTTTAAAGGACGGTGTTTATTGAATTTTAATCCTCAGAATTTATCCTTGATTGGACCTACTGAATGGGGTAAAATGTTAATGGAAGTATAGTCGCAAAGAAATTCCTTTTTTGTGTGCGTTTGTCGGCCATATTGAGCGCTTTAAATTACATCGATAAATTAGTAAGCCGTTTTATGACTGAAAGTTGATGTTTCGAGTAAAAGCTACATTTCTCCGTAGCCGTTAATGGCAAACTGGTGACGTTTGATTAGGCTGCATTTGAAAATGATCATCGATTCACTGTTTTAGCATTTTTGCCCCCTACCTTGGCCAGTGATTGGGCTCTCACTTGCGCTTTCGGGCATTTTCTACACCTTGATAAGTTGATTGCAGTTTCACAAAGTTTTATGGTCGGTGATTTATACAACTATAATCCCCTGTATTTATCCTCTGTATATTTAAGAACTCGTTGATTGGGTATAATGTGGATGGAAGTTTAGCTGCAAATAAATTTTCGTTTTGTGTGCCTGTGTCGGCCATATTTTAAGGGCTAATTACATTTATTTAACGTATACATTAGTAGTTGAAAGTTTGTTCTGAGTGAAAATACGTCTACTTTGTGTTCGTTTCGTGTGCCTTCAGTGTCGGCCATATTAAGTGCTCATTACGTTGACACCCGACATTGGTAGTTGAACGTTTGTTCTCAGTAAAAATAAATTTCTCGCAAGATCACCTGAAAAGCAATGTTAACAAGGTAGCCGTTTATGGAAAACAAGCGATTTTTGAGTCAGCTCAAATTCGGCAATTCTTCAATGTTGGTCGAAGTCAACTTCCGTGAGAGTGTCACGAAGCTCAAAACAAGATGACTGCAGTTTCACAAAGTTTTATGGTCGGTGATTTATCGAATTATAATCCCCAAAATTTAACCTTTGTATAATTAAGACGACGTTGATGAATGAGGTAAAATGTGGATGGGAGTTTAGCCGTTAATAGAAAATTTCGATTTGTGAGCCTGTGTCGGCCATATTAATTACTAATTACATTGATATATTCAACATTCTTGACGACGTTACTTTTGTGGATGAAAATGTTTCAAGCGCGTAATAATGTGAAGATTCATCAATCAATTCTAAGCCCTGCGGCTACTCGTCTGTAGATCGATTCTATTCATTTTCTTTTTTTCAACCAGTGAAGATTTAAACTTAAAATTCTAATTAAGGACTTACGCTCAAGACGTCGGCTTTCGAGTCGTTTTCGTAGCAAAATATTTAGTTCATCAACTAGGATGACAAAATTAATGACTTTATCATTATTACTATCATCATTAATATTATTAGTATCATCACCATCATTCAATTCATGATCAGCAGTAGTTTACAATCGCACTTTTAAAAAAGTTCCTTCATTAAGAAGAATATAAAGTGTGTAGTGATATATTTTTCGACATGAAATTAGAGCGTTTTTCTTCTCTCCTGTCCTTTTGTATTTTGAAAAACCTTCACAAATTCAAATGTCAAATTTAACAGAGTTGATGTGTCGAATCTCTTTACCCTCTCTTGATGTATTTTCTTGATTTGCTGATTTTTTTGGAAAAAGTCTAACAGTTACCATGACTTTCTTGATTTTAAGTTGAAGCCCCGTCCATTTAAGTCAAAAACTGCACGTCTGTCGGTTCACAGAGAAAGGCGGCCCCTCCGGTTCGCGGCTTCTCTTCCCGACCTCTCTTTAAGTATACCATAATAAACCAGAGGATTCAAAACATAGTTGTAATATCCAACGGTTGATGTTATCACCAGTGCGTTTATTAAAATAATGTCCCTATGAACACCTGAAGCTAATAAGCCAGTGCAAATAAGCTGTGGGATCCAACATGCGAAGCACACACCACTGATCTTATAAGTCAGCCATGTCAGTTTGATTTCTTGGCGCCTGTGAAGACTCGCTGCATCAGGCAAAATTGACGAACGAATCCCCTTTACAACGCGAATGGCGGTTACAATTATGATAATTAAGGTCCCCACATTTAGAACTAGACCAGTTAAATGAAATATCAAATTGGGGTTGGGCTTCTCGTATGTCATTTGAGAAAAAAGGTTTACAGGGTTAAATAATGACGGGGTCAAGAATACCCTGACGATCAAAACGGATGTTAAAACGAGAGCTCCTATCCATTTTCCAGCTATCATAAATTTCACATTACTTGGCGTCATGCGTCGGTTAAACGGACGCAAAACACAATCTTGTCGATCAATTGCCATTAGCGATAAGGTCACAGAATTGACAACAGCGCAAAGAAAACTACTCGATATTACGATATAAAAGGCGGGTTTAGCATAATCTATTCTGCCTAGTCCGACCAAGGCGAGCATTGTTAAACGAGAGGGTAGACTGAAAACAGATGAAATGATTCCACTAACAGCCAAACTGACGAACAAAAAGTGAGGAACCTTTCGTAGGTCGCGACGCTGAACGAAAAAATAACAAACTTTTGCATTTCCTGCAAATCCTATGATGATGGCGATCACTGACAGCGTCTGGTCTGCGATGATTGTACCTGGAGCAACTACCCTTGAACTTAAACCATTGAAACTTGACTGATTCATTGTAACTATTTTATCAGGTTTGGTTCGTTACTCTTCAGTTATGAAGTATTCTTGACATCTTTTCTGGCTGTTTGCATGATCCAGTGCTTGGGCTCTTGCTTATTCTTAAGGGTATATTTTACCATTTGATCGCAGTTTGACGGATTTTTTTTAAAGACAACACCTTTGCAATTATTTGCATTGCAAATTATTTTTCAAAAGGCGCCTCATCAAGCTACTATATCTTAGCCCAACCCGACCACTTCTAACAATGGTGCTATTGTTTCAAGTGAGGTAGCAATCAACGCCTTCCCAGGAAAGGCAAAGCCAAACTGTTGGCGCGGCACATGAAAAAAAAAAAAAGAATCGTCAGACGTCTTTAGGACTAGTACTTGGTTGCCTGCCTTGAGCGGTTCAGTGAGTTATACGAAGATAAAATAAGTTTCTAAGAAACTATATTTCTATGCCACATGATTCAATAACTCACATCAATTTATTCATGCATTGTTTATCTTTGATTGCTTTCTGATAATAATTAAAGTAATATCAATTCAGAGAAGAAATGAAAGACAAAAGATAAATTGACGACTTTGAGTGTACGAAAGCAGCGTTATATGTTTCTCTACACTGCGACAGAATTCTTTTTATTTCTGGCCACGGTTGTACAAAAGGTGAATAACGCTATCAGCTGGATATAGATAAATCTCTATTACTCCAGTGGATACAATTTAACTCTCGTTGCAGATCGGCTACCCATAAATTAAAAAGGACTGGGTTAAAAATGGAGCCTTGTGGTACACCAAAACCCACAGTAACTAACTCCAATGATCTGTTATCGATAGAGACATTTAGCATCAGGTTTTTCATGGTTCAGTGCAAACGGCAAACCTGAGGATGTCCGTGACCACGGTCTTGCGGTCACGATTGCAGTTTGCAGTTCACGTTTGAACGACAGGAAGAGCTTCCAGCTGTCAGTGATTTACGCCTACGGCAAGGTTTTTTTTGTCTTTAAAAATTGTACAGCCTCACGTTTAAAGGAAATGGGTTTCTTCACTCACCAGAAATGTGCCAGTTAGATCTTTGAACTCGAATCATTGAATTCTTCTTTTTTTTTTCGAGCCATAAAAGTGAAACACTGCGACTTGACGAAGAACAATATGGCAGTATTCTACAACAAACGCTTTGCTTAAATTCGAAATCCCAACAACGTGAAACTGCAAGCGCGTAACTGCAAAAGGTTTGCAGTTTCCCAAAAAAAACCTGATGCTAAAGGGTTCTAATCTGAACAAACTGGCGTCCAACGAGTGTGCGGTGTTACTTCCTTGCGGTAAAAACTTATTGGGTCCTTCACTAATTCAAATGTTCAAATATATCAGCGGTGTGCTGAATCTCTGGACCGTTTATCTCCCCCGTTTATTTGTCTTGTTTTCTATTCTTGTGTGCAAGAGGGGGCAGAAACGCCCGTCAAAACTGAACGTCTGTTGGCTTGCCTAGGAACATTATTCCCTTTTCTGTTCAGTATATCTCGATACACCAGAGGGTTCAAAACATAGTTGTAATGTCCAACTGTTGAAATTATCACCATTGCATTAACTACTACATCCCTATCAAAGTCTGAAGCTAACAAACCAGCGCAAATAAACTGTGGCACCCAACATGCGACACACACACCACTGATCTTATAAGTCAGCCATGTCAGTTTGTTTTCTTGGCGTCTGTGAAGACTCGCTGCATCAGGCAAAGTAGACGAACGAATCGTTTTTATAACTCGAATAGCAGTTACAATAACAATAATTAAGGTAAACACATTTATCACTTTGCCCATGATATAACAGATAAAGATAGGCTTGTGCTTCAGGTCTGACAACTTGGAAAAGAAGGTTTCAGGGCTAAGTGTTGACGGGTCAAACAAAACAATGAAAAATTTAATGGAAGTTAAAAATAGAGCTCCTATCCATTTTCCAACTATCATAAATTTCACATTACCGGGTGTCATGCGTCGGTTAAACGGACACAAAAACACAATCTTGTCGATCAATTGCCATTAGCGATAAGGTCACAGAATTGACAACAGCGCAAAGAAAGCTACTTGATATCACGATATAAAAGGCGGGTTTAGCATAATCTATTCTGCCTAGTCCGACAAAGGCGAGCATTGCTAAGCGAGAGGGTAGACTGAAGACAGATGAAATGATTCCATTAACTGCCAAACTAGCGAGTAAAAAGTGAGGAACCTTTCGTAGGTTGCGACGCTGAACGAGAAAACAACCAACTTTTTCGTTTCCTTCAAATCGTATGATGATGGCGATCAATAACAGCGTCAGGTTTGTAATGATTGTTCCTGGAGCAAGTACCGCAGAACGTAAAACGTTGAAACTCGACTGATTCATTTGAACTCTCTTATTTGATTCACTCTTCAGTTATGAAGTATTCGTGACGCTTTTTCTGCTTGAGCTCTCGCTTATGCTTTGGTGAATATTCTACCTTAATAATTTCATTGCAGTTCCACAACGTTTTTTTACAACGGTCGTTGTTTACTGAATTATAATCCTCAGAATTGATCCTTGACATTTGGACCTATTGAATGGGGTAAAATGTTAATGGAAGTATAGTCGCAAAGAAAGTCCTTTTTGGTGTGTGTGTGTTGCCCATGTTACGTGCTTTAAATTACATCGATACATTAGTAAGCCATTTTATGGTTGAAACTTAATGTTTCGAGTAAAACTACATTTCTCTGAAGCCGCCAATCGGAAACTGGCGACGTTTGGTTAGGTTGCATTTGAAGCCGAGCACCGATTCCCTTTTTAAACATTTTTGCCGCCTACTTCGGCCAGTGCTTGAGTTGTCGCTTGCGCTTTCGGGTAGTTTTTCTACACCTTAAGAAGATGATTGCAGTTTCACAATGTTTTATAATTAATGGTCGGTGATTTATTAAATTATAATCCCATGTATTTGTCCTCTTAATAATTAAGACCTCGTTGATTGGGTATAATGTGGATGGAAGTTTAGCTGTAAATAAAATTCGATTTGTGTGCCTGAGTCGGTCATATAAAGTGCAAATTACATTCATTTGATACATCAGTAGCTGAACGTTTGTTCTGAGTAAAAATATATCTCTCCCCTTATGACCTGAAAATGAATATCAATTAGACAGCGATTGATGGAAAACTAGCGACGTTTCAGTTAGTTGAAACTGAAAACTTCCCCTTCGGTATCGGCTTCGGCAACTGCTTCTTCATGGTTGGCCGTCGAAGTCAACGTTCGTAAGACCTCGGCGCTCAGAACGAGATGATTGCAGTTTCACAAAATTTATCGTCGGTGTTCTGTTAAATTATAATCCCCTGTAATACTCCTCTATATTTTATTAAGACCTTGTTGAATCGAGTAAAATGTGGATGGAAGTTATGCCGTAAATAAATTAATTTCGTTTTGCGTCCCTTTGTCGGCCATATAAATCGCTAATTATATCGATGCAATAGTAGTTGAACATTTGTTTTGAGTAACTAGACTCGCCAAAGGAGAATTTACTAGGCTGCTTACACCAGACAGGAATAATGTACTTTGTATAAAAACTAGAAGTTTACTAAAACAGACAGTCAACAGCCCATTGATCCCGATCCACGGGCCTCATTGATTCCACTGAGATTTTAAATCAGTATAAATTCCTAATTTGCGGTCTACAGTCTACATGAAAACGCATATTTTTTTTCCACAAGATAAAAATATTCAGCTTTATGATTTTTCTCCTGTTATTTTACCTCAACTTGAAGGAATTAAATCGTTTGCATTTTGTGACCTAAAAGAGTTAAAAGATTTCTCTACCGCACGCATGTTGATTTCATCTGCACTTTTAAAAACACTTTCAATAGATGAAACGATCGATAATACATTTTTTACCGTAATGTCAGCCCGAGAAAACAGCCGACATTTCGCTCCGCCACCAACGGTTTCCCCGTGAAATGACGTCTGAGAAACGAGCGCAGAAATTCCATACTGATGACACCAATCAAAAGCACTACCAAGATCCGGGTACTGACGCGTCATCAGTATGGAATTTCTGCGCTCGTTTCTCAGACGTCATGTCGCGAGGAAACCGTTCGTGGCATCGCGAAATGTCCGCTGTTTTCTCAGACTACCGTAATCCTAATATGAGTTGAAAATTCGCTCGAGTTCGCTATTTGTCTCATCCGTGACTAACTTTTTTTACTGGTAGAAAATTAGCCCGTTTTACAACTCCTCCAAATTTTTGTGCCAGCTAAACAATATCGAAATATTATTCACAGTCCTTGGGTATTAAAAAGACTGAACGAGAAGCACTGAAAATGCACTATGTGCTCGTGAACTTGTTTACTTCTGATCACATGTACACGAACTCTGAAATCGTTTCCGGCTGAAGCTATTCATAGGTACAAAAAATATTCGTGCAAGGGAAAAACAAGTTGTGAGAACATGTTAATCCCCAGAATTTATCCTCTGTATAATTAAGACCTCGTTGAATGAGACAAAATGTGGATGGAACATTGGAAGTTCAGCCGTAAATAAATTTCGTTTTGTGTGCCTTCAGTGTCGGCCATATTATCATATTATTGATTCCACTGAGACTCTAAATCAGTAGAAAATCCTAAATTGTTTTCGGCTCAAGCATTCATAGGTACAAAAAATATTCGTGCAAGGGGAAATCGTGTCAAACAAGTTGTGAGAACATGTTAATCCCCAGAATTTATCCTCTGTATAATGAAGACCTCGTTGAATGAGACAAAATGTGGATGGAACATTGGAAATTCAGCCGTAAATAAATTTCGTTTTGTGAGCCTTCAGTGTCGGCCATATTAAGTGCAAATTACATTGATACCCCACATTAGTGGTTAAACGCTTGTTCTGTGCAAAAATAGATTTCTCCCCATATGACTTGAAAAGCCATGTTAATCAAACAGCTGTTGATGGAAAACAAGCCATGTTTGAGAAAGCTTAAATTCGAAAACTTCTCTACTGATGAATCGCTAGCAATTCGCCAATGTTCAATGTTGGTCGAAGTCAACTTTCGTGAGACTTCGGAACGTCACGAAGTTCAAAACGAGAAGATTACAGTTGCACAAAGTTTTACGGTCGGTGTTTTATGTACTGTTTAAAAAACGGACAGGAGTGTATCATCAGGTTTAATAAATTGAGGCAAACCCGGGAGTTTTTACGCCTGATAATAAACGACTGCGATTTTTTTGAACGGCTGCAGAATCTCCTTATACGGAATAACTCGTTACCGCACTCGCACTAATATTTAGATTTGGGTTTATTTTGGTCCAAAAAATTGACGTAAAGTTTAGTCGTGTCTTTTAACACTCATTAAACATTAAATTTATTTTGTTTGTTTTTTCTTTATGAATTATTAATAAGCTTTTGAATAAAATATATTCCCCAGTATTGATCCTCCCTATATAATTAATACCTCGATGAATAAGGTAAAATGTGGATGGAAGTTTAGCCGTAAATAAATTTCGTTTTGTGTGCCTTCAGTGTCGGCCATATTAAGTGCCAATTACATTGATACCCCACATTAGTGGTTGGACGTTTGTTCTCATTAAAAATACATTTATCCCAATATGACGCTTAAATTCAAAATCTTCTCCGTGAATCGTCGGCGATTCAGCAATTTGTCAATGTTGGTCGAAGTCAACTTCCATGAGACTTCGGATTGTCACGAAGCTAAATACGAGATAATTGCAGTTTCACAAAGTTTTATGATCGGTGTTTTATTAATTATAATCCATACTGCTTATCCTCTGTATGACTAAGACCTCGTTGAATGGAGTAAAAGGTGGATAGAAGTTTAGCTGTAAATAGAAAATTTCGATTTGGGTGTCTGTCGGCCATATCAGGCGCTAATTACATTGAATATATTCAACACGGTTTCTATCTCGACGATCTGTCTCACATTTGTGGATTAAAACCTTTCCAGCACGTTATGTTAATTTCCATCAATCAATATTAAGCACTACGGTTACACGCAGATCGATTGTATGTTTTTTATGCTGAACGAGTGAAGTTTTTAAACTTTAAAGTCTCACGAAGGACTTACGCTCAAGACGCCAGCTTTCAAGTTTTTTTTATAGCAAAATATTTAGTTCATCAACTCAGACGATAAAATCGATGACCTTTTTATTATTATTATTATTATTATCATTATTATTATTATTATTATTATTATTATTATCATTATTACGATTACATTAATCAATTCATGGTCAACAGTAAGTTACAACCTCACTTAAAAGTTCCTTCATTAAAAAGACATTATAACGTATGCGATGGTATAACTTCGAAATGAAATTAGAGCGTTCTTTCTTTCTGTCCTGTCCTTTTATGTTTTGACAACCTTCACAAAATTAAATGTCAAATTTATCACAGTTTACCCCTAATTTACGCCTTTTCTGGATTTCCTGTTTTTTTTTTTTTTGGAAAAGAATTACAGTTACCATGACTTTCTTGATTGTATCAAAAACTGCACGTCTATCGTCTCACCGAGGAAGGCGGCCCCTCCGGTTAGTGGCTTCTCTTCCCGCCTTTTCTTTCACGATGCCATAATACACCAAAGGGTTCAAAACATACTTGTAATTTCCAACGTTAGTTGCTATCACCAGTGCGTTGATTACAGTGTCCCCATATAAACGCCCGAAGCTAATAAACTGATGGAAATAAACTGTATCCCCCAACATGCGACCGAGACAACACTTATCTTATATGTCAGCCACATCAGTTTGCTTTCTTAGCGCCTGTAAAGAGCCACTCCAGCAGGCAAAGTTGACGAACTAATACCTTCTATAACCCGAATAGCGGTTACAATTACGACAATTAAGGTAATAAGATTCAAAACTGTGCCAGTCTCAGTGATATGAAATATAAACAAGGGGTTGGGCTTGGCGAAAGTAAATTTTACAGGGCTAAATGTCTACTGGACAAAGAATGCCCTGTCCTATCCACTTTCCAGTTGTAATAGATTTCACATTACTTGGTGTCATGCGTCGGTTAAACAGACACAAGACACAATGTTGTCGATCAATTGCCATTTGCGATAAGGTCACGGAATTGACAACAATGCAAAGAAAGCTACTCCACACTCTGATATTTTGGAAATGTTTAACATAATCTTCCCTACCTAGGTTAATTACGTTGAACATTACCAAAAGAGAGGGTAGACAGAACATGTATGAAATGATTCCAGTAACGGACAAACTGACGAATAAAAAGTGAGGAATCTTTCGCAGGTCGCGATTGTTGATGAAAAAATGACAAACTTTTACGATTCCAACAAATCCTATGACGATGGGGATCACTAACAGCGTCTGGCCTGCAATAACTGTACTTGGAGTAACTACCCTTGAACGTAAACCATTGAAACTTGACTGATTCATTGTAACTATCTTATCAGGTTTGGTTCGTTACTCTTCGGCTGTGGAGTATTCTTGACGCCCCTTTTGTTTCTGTCTGCATGATCCGGTGCTTCGGCTGTCGCCTATGCTCTACATAGGGTATATCCTATCATTTGATTGCAGTTTCACAATCTTTTTTTAAAGAAATATTGGTGTGTTATTAAATTTAAATCCTCAGAATTTATACTTAACATATGGACCTTTTTGTGTGCGTGTGTCGGCCATAATAAGTGTCAATTACCCTGTTACATCAGTAAGCCATTTTAATGTTTTGCGTAAAACTATGTCACTTCTCCGGCGACGTTTTATTAAGTTGAAACCGAACATCGATTCGGCAATCGCTTCTTCAAGAAGGTCGACGAAGGTCAAAACGTGTTTGATGTTCATCGCGGTTTCTTTCTTGACAATCTCTTTCCCTGTTGTGAACCAAACGCGCCCCTTTATATTCTTCGGTGTGGTCTGAAAAGTTTACAGACCATGCACAATGTAAATTTTTATCATTCAAAATAAGACCTCTCGATTAAGCCATCGTAGATCAACATTCTTTCTAAGACCAACGACACAATTCTTTACCATATTTTACCATATTTTTACGTTTCAAAATAGTAGATTTTTGTTAGAATAATTTGAGCTCGGACCCAAATATTTGCATGTAAACCTAACGTAAAGTTGTCCCGCCTTCTGGGATCTTCCTGGTACTAGGATCTTTCTCCCTCTACGTAAACAGTCCCTAAATAACGCAGTGGAATCGCTCTGATACCGCTTCAAATTGAAATACCGCTCAAGTACCCCGGATAATTCTTCAAAAGCAACTAGCGGCCAATTTGGAAGTCGATTGCGATATTCAATAGAATGACGTCAATAGTACAGACTATCGCCACCAAAAAGGACGCGACTGGAGAAGCCCTAGCGACGAGTTTGAGTCAGCTCAGTCGGAAAAAATGGTGGAACATTTCACACGTTTTGCGAAAAAGGAATGTCCAAATTTTTAAACAAAAACTTAACAAGAACAGCAAATACAACTCAACAGATGACAACTGGTGTTATTAGAATTTCTGCTAGACTGAACTTAACATCGATAGAGTTATGCATTTAATTGAATAATAAAAAGGATTGGAATCGGGTTTCACATGATCTGAAGAATTATATAGATCATAAGATCACAAAAAGGCGAATAAAATATTACTTTGACCTCTAAAGATACCATACAAATCATTTTGAGATCCTATCCTACAAAGATTTTAGTTCAGGGCTGGGTACCTTAGATTTTGTTATTATTTCATTAAAAGTCGAGATCGAACACATCCACCACATGGTCACATGATATGGGCATATGATATCGTCACAAATTATTCCAAATCTGGCATCTTAGGGTCTTCTAAAAGACACTTCCAAGGTTTTTCAACTTTTAGACTGGGACCAGTTAGCAAAAATATGTCAACACGACTGGAAAGAACGGCTTCAAATCAGTAACTCTGCTTAAGTTTGAAAGTGAAAGTTGAAAGCTAACGAAGGTATAACTCCGCAAAGTCGTGGAATTTTAGAGATAGACTGGGTAGATTGAGTCACTTTGCAGAATAAACTGAATTGCGCAACTTTACAAATCTAAAAATATCTCAAACTAAAAAAAAAGAGAAAATAAACTGTAAACTGCAAGTCATGAATACATTGCCATAGAGATACTCTTGTTGATAAAAGTGTCCGCAAATCCCTTTGTTTTAGTTTTGTGTTGGTCGAAAATCTTCTGTCTCCTTAAATTATAAGTTGGCCTGTTGCACTTTTTAGGCAACAAACCGTAAATCTTATTGGATGGATAGTTAACAACTAAATGGAAAAGCTGATTGGTTATATGTTCTCGATGGACTCTCATGCAGTCCATACCAGCGAGACTTAAAGCGCCCTTATAAGAAACCCCAGGGAAGATACACGAGAGGGCTCTCTTTTGAACACTCTCAAGTTCGGATTGCAAGTACTTTGGTATAACGAAGATCTAATACAACATGTAATACACGCGCAGTATCACGCTACCAGATCGTCAGAACGAACCTGCGTACGTTTCAGTTGAACAAGAAAGTAGCGTTTTCGAGATGCTTTCTTTACGAGTTCCTCAATGTGGTCGTTCCAAGTTAAGTTACCATTGATCAGAACTCCAAGTAGCTTTGCTCACTGTACTGACTCGATATAATTTGCGTCAATACATGCACTTGGGAACAGGGGACGTTGTCGACTGAAGTTGATGTTGAGTTCCTTTGTTTTGTCGCAGTTTATCTCAAACATATTTGTCTTCGACCAGTTGTGTGCTAAGGTTCATTAGATCTTGAGCTTTGATGTTTGCTGCCCAGATGTTTGTTTGTTGGGAGAGGGGGGGGGGGGGGGGGGGTTTCTTTCCTCTGTGTAACCTATCAATTTTATTTTACACAAATGCTATGGTGGGAGGGGGGTGGGTGTGTGGTGTTTGTTTTTTTTTTTTTTTTTTTTTTTTTTTGTTTTTTATCAAAAATTTTTTTCTCCCAGCTTTGGTTGGTGATGATTTTTTTTTGGTTTGGTTTTTTGTTTTGCTCCCGGTTTTTTTTTTTTGGGGGGGGGGGGGGGGGGGGGGGGGGGGGCAAGTTCGTTTCCCCCTTCCACCATTCAAACGGCTGTAAAATTGCGCGAAATTGTAAAGCAATATCGATCTTCGCTCTGGTTGGACGTAAAATCTTTAAACTTGGTAAGTTACCTTATTTTAAGGCTCTCTTTCCAGCAGTTACGATTGATATTCGCTTACATGCTCTTTATCAAAAGATGAAAAAAAAAAAACCGTAGAAGCTTCTAATGCTTTGGTACAGTCTCCAGTCCAAAATCAGTAAAACTTAATTCCTTCCATTAATTTTTGACAATATGCAAAATTAAGATTCATTTTATTGTAACAGCGTTTCTGTTTCTCACGAGGATGAAATACATAAGCTATTCAGGATTGAGGAAGTTTAAAAGACAAAATGCGAAAAGAAAAATATAAAAAGCTTTCTCTTGTTGCCGAATTTATGTTTTCTTCTGGTAAACAATTTTTAGCTTTTCATTTTTGGTAATACCATGTGAAAAACCGCACAATTTGGAGCTGTAATTTACTTGTGGGTTCAACGTTCATTTTATTGAACGCCATTTGCGAAATATGTGTACTGAGAAAGTATTATACAAGTTACATGAATTTTTCAAATAATTTATAGATAAAATAAATTGCAATAAAGTCAACAACCAAGGAAGAGTGTGGTGGCCAAAGTAAAAGTAGCGTACCCCTTTTCTTTTGGACTAAGTGAGCTTAAGACGAAAAAAAGAAGGCATTCTAAGCTTAGACTTAAGTGTAGAAGTTCGTAGAGCAGAACAACAACCAATTTTTTTCCACCCGTTAAATAATGGACCATTGTTGCCAAATGTCTTAGATTCACAGTCAACAAGGCGTAAAGTAAGCTAAATGTCATTCACAAGGCTTTCTAGCTTAATTTAACCGGAAATCTATTCGAAACATTTTCATGCAAAAATGCTCTAGAACCCGTTACATGACGGCCCGTAATTAACATGTACGAACTGCAAAAACGCGACAAAACTAAAAAAAAGAACGAACAATAACGAACACAAAATTGTTCGAATTTCATTTCTTCCTAATGTGAAAATCTTTCTCTCTCTCTCTCTCTTTTTTTTTTACAAGTGATCGTCTGACGTTCCCAAAAGTTGACGTGAGAAACAGCAAGAGTAGCGAAGATAAATCACTGATTTCTTCGTTCTTTCATTTCTTTGTGGGTATTCACAGGCGCCGTCGCCGTTTCTAAGTCGTTTTTACTTTATTCGAAAACGAAAGCAAAGCGTTTTTATTCGCGAATCAAATGGATTGAATACATATGCGAGTAATCTAAACAATGAGATAAACAAATCTAAACAACAGCCTAGTCTACGAAAGTTTCCCGTAAACCAGGAGCATCGGTCTTTCCCGTCGCTCAACGCGATGGGAAAGGATTTCGTTAGATAGAAGGCCCAGAATTAAAGAAGATTTCAGCCACAGAAATTCGTTTTACCCATTTAATAGATGATCAACAGTTATTTTCAATCTCGCTTAGGTTCCTTATAGTATTTTTTTTTTAAGTAAGACGCACTTAGACCGTGCGTTCGCAAGCATCTGTGACCGGCGCTGCCCGATTTTTGACAATGGCGATCGTCGGCATCGTCGGTAAGTGTCGGCAAGGCGTCGACTGTTTATTTTTTGGGCGTTGTTGCGTTGAAGACAACTCGTAGAGAAGAAAGAACAAATCTTTCTTTGGGATATGAGATTAAGGGGCGTTCTTGATTTGTCTTTTCGTCCGTTACGCGAACTTCATAAATTCAAATGTCAACTTCACTAGAGTTTTTTTCTGTTGGATCTATATAAATCTCTCTCGACGCTTTTTCTGGAAAAGAGTACATTTCTTGACTGTGGGTGGGAAGGTCCCCTTTTGTCTGAACGGAAGGCATGTCTGTCGGCTTGCCTAGAAATATTATTCTCTTTTGTGTTCGCATTATACCACGATACACCAGAGGATTCAAAACATAGTTGTAATATCCAACAGTTGATGTTATCACCACTGCGTTGATTGCCATGTCCCTATGAACACCTGAAGCTAATAAACCAGTGCAAATAAACTGTGGCACCCAACATGCGACGCATACACCACTGATCTTATAAGTCAGCCATGTCAGTTTGTTTTCTTGGCGTCTGTGAAGACTCGCTGCATCAGGCAAAGTGGACGAGCGAATCCTTTTTATAACGCGAATAGCGGTTACAATAACGATAATTAAGGTTATCACATTTAAAACTACGCCCAAGATATGATAGATGAAAATAGGGTTGCGTTTCAGGTCTGACATTTTGGCAAAAAAGGTTACAGGGTTAACTGATTGGTCAAACAAAACAACGAAAATTAAAACTGAAGTTACAAGTAGAGCTCCTATCCATTTTCCAGCTATGAAAAACTTCACATTGCTTGGCGTTATGCGTCGGTTAAACGGACGCAAAACACAATCTTGTCGATCAATTGCCATTAGCGATAAGGTCACAAAATTCACAACTGCGCAAAGAAAGCTACTTGGTCCCGTGATATTTAAGGCGCGTTCAGCATAATCAATTCTGCCTAGTCCGACTGAGGCGAACATTGCTAAGCGAGAGGGTAGAGTGAACAAAGATGAAATGATTCCATTAACTGCCAAACTAGCGAATAAATAGTGAGGAACCTTTCGTAGGTCTTGACGCTGAACGAAAAAATAACAAACTTTAGCGTTTCCTCCAAATCCTATCACAATGGCGATTGCCGTCAGCGCCTGGTCTGCGATGAATGTAATTGCAGCAACTGTCGATGGGCTACGACCGTTGAAACTTGATTGATTCATTTTTACCTCAGCTCACTTTTCATTTATTTTTGCCGCCTTTTTATGGTTGATTGTATGGTCCAGTGCTTGACTTCTCGCTTGCGTTTTCGGGTATTTGCCACATTAATAAGTTGATTGCAGTTTCACAACGAACGCCTTATGGTCGGTGATTTGTTTTAATAACTGATAATCCTTAGGATTTATCCTTTCTATAATTGTTTTAAACCTCATTGAACGGCTTAAAATGTGGATAAAGTTAAGTGTACATCAAAATATGGCCGACACATTAGATTGATACATTGGTAAGCTAGTTTAAATTTGAACATTTTTTTTTCTGAAGAAAACTATACTTTCGCCAGTATGACCAATCATTAGTCATTTTTTCTTGCGAACAGCGGATCATGGAGGAGATCTAAAAATAACTTTAAAGAGATTACAATGGGCGTAGGGCCTTAGGAGATTAACTTTCTAGTCCCTTTATTTTCTCTTGATTAAGTTGAAACTAAAAATTTCTTCTCCAGTAGTCGCTTCTTCAAGGTTAGCCGCGAATTCAACTATTTGGAGGGGGTCGACCGGTCCGGTCGACCGGAAATACGTCCGCTGTTCGCAGGTTATACATCGACCTACGTAGAACTACATAACGTGTTTGCTCCGCCTTTAAGCCGCAATATCCACACACAGATTCTCTAAACTGATCTCTAAACATTTTTTACAGAACACGTTTAGAGAATCTGATAAAAGATCAACGCATTTCCATTTGATGATCATTTTATTAATTCTCATAAACTTTCTTTTGGATGATGTATGGATATTGTTAGGAGAAAATTGACATTGGTCACTCTGGAGACTTTTAAAGCGTTAAAACTATCTCCATTCATTTTGATATTCGCTATGGATGTAGCCTCCCACGCAGACGTTCTTAGGGCAACGATCACATAGCCTCTAAAAGTCCTTTATTATTTTTTCCTGGTTGGTTATACCTTGTCGAAAATTCTACCGCTGACGTCATGACAATTGACCAATAGGACAGTGAATGATATTGCACGTTGCTCCCGACACAGCATATATTAATCACTTTTTTTCCCCGCGTGAATTTACAATATGATTCAAATTCATTCACGCGAAAAAAGTCGACCTCGAGACTTCGTCACTCGCTCGGTCGTTGTGCGACCTCATGCATTAAAGCTCGCTTCGCTCACTTTTAAGAACTTATGAGAGGTCGACTTGTAGAACGTCTAAGTGTCAGCCATAGGTTGATCCAAATTGTTTTTAAAAGTTGCCGGAAGTTAAGTAAGTACTACCGTAAAATTCCGAAAACAAGCCCCTCCATGTATAAGCCCCTCCAAATATAAGCCCCCCAAACTGGTAAGGCAAAAAAAACCCTCCGTTAAATCGCCCCTCCAAATGCAAGCCCCCGGGGCGCATGTACTTGGAAAATTACCCTGAAATACAAAGTAAAACAAAGCAAAAACGGTAAATTTACTTCCAACTATAAGGCTAGCCCAATCGATTTTGAAACGCAAATTTCCCTCCGCAGGTAAGCCCCTCCCAATATAAGCCCATCCAAAAATAAGCCCCTCAAAAAGGGACGTTGAAAAATATAAGTCCCGGGGCTTATTTTCGGAATTTTACGGTATTTTTTCAATAAAGTATTCAAAAACATCACTGACAACAAAACTGATTTGACAGGCGGGTTCAATTTAGGTTTCTCTCCACCTAGCCCGGGATTCTGAAGTAATTCGAGCCCAGGCTTTTTCCTCTTTGGTTTTCACTATGCACGTGTATTCTCGTCTCCTGATAGGGTCGTTTTCATTCGCGGCAGAGAAGACAGAGTTGGAAATTTATTTCCCCGAACTACATGTTTCGATGTTAGCCGCCATTTTGAAAACGTGGTCATATTTGCGAACCATTGACTTTAAACAGCGGCAAGGGCTCCTGACTGTAGGTAGTCCATCTGAAGGGGGAGGGGGCGGGGGTTGGGGCACGGGGTCAAAGAACTGAAATTTTCCTTCAAGGATGTTTTACAAGGCTTAAACAGTATCTAAGGACTTTGTACCGTAATTCCCATAAGTTGTTAGTTGCCCCCAAAAATCAGAAGTTGTTACAAATGGCAAAAGTTGCCAGAAAGTTTCTCTAAAAAGCAAAAGTTGCCAAACAGTTGCCGAGCAACTTGTAGCTGAGGAAGCCCTTAGAACGACTGCGCGAGACGCCACTAAGTATGTTATATACAAGCTGCATTTAAATATAAAAATAAAATACTGTTATAATCATCACATGAAATACATTTTCATGAGACACAATATGGAAAGAGTGGATTAATATTGGACTTATATTACAGAAATTAATATAGTTCAATGTGACAATTGCATTTGGCCTACTCTGGAAATTATTATTCCTTTTCTGTTCATAGTATAGACTTTTCAGTGTTATGCGAGTTTTGTATCTACAGCCTTGCTCCAGGCCAGTTATTTAAGAGCCGCCACACATTCAGTAGTTCAGTTCTCAGGGAAGAATGGCTTTTAGCCTCTCCTCAAAAACCAGCGTCTCTAACTACCATTTGACCTGGAGCACACCAACACACGTTGACTGCCGACAGCCTCTGGGTAAATAAATAACCCTTCCATTTCCACGAAAGAGAGACGAGGAGACAGTCAAAACGTTAAGTCCGCTTTCCCCTTTTTTTCCTTGAAACAAATCATTCGAGTTGAGAAGCTTGATGATGCAACAGACTCAAGCAATCGTATAATACATCACCCCTCCCTCTGTTTTCCATCAATAAAGATGTCATCAACTGTCACGTGACCAGTAGCTCGATCATAATCTCGGTCACAGTAAAACTCGGCCCAAACAAAGACAGTGATCGGAAACGAGGCCATTCCAGCGCCAGCCATCAGGTATGGAGGGATGGGTAAGGCCGTCTCTGATTACCCCTATTGGCAGATAACACACATTACATAAACATTTGTAGAAGGATATACAGCAAATCTCTCTGTTACCAAAAGGTCAGGCAAATGGCTGACCACCCTAAAACGAGTTGCAAACGCTTAGGCGTTGCTATTTCACCGGGCGACCTTGCAGCTCCTGAAGACTTCAAGGGATTGGTCGGGAAAACAATGAGCTGCTACCCACAGGAGTCCAATTAAATTAGAGGTTCTGAAGAGCTGATAGGCTACTGAATTCACCTACCATTTTGAAAGTTTTTAGTTAACTTAAATGTGTTAAAAACTGAAACTAAACTTGAAGAGGCATAATTTTGTTTGTGCGCGAGGCGTTCGCAACATAAAAAAGGTTATTATTTTGTGAAAAACGAAAGATAGTGACATTAACGAACTGTTTACTACATCCTTGTCCATTCTTTCCACCCACTAGGAAATGAAATTCCGGTAACTAAATAAGAAGCTGTCTAGACGTGACAGCGGTGGAGGCAAATGGTGGATTTCGTACAGTTGTTCCTAGCCACCAAAAGGCATAGTCACACACAGCCACGCACGAAGGCAAAGAATGTATTTGCCACCAGTCGTTCCCTGGGAGCCAAAAGTCATAATCAAACACAGTCACGCAAGTAGGCAAAGGGTGGATTTTCCACAATTCGTTCCCAAGGCGCCCCAAGGCAAAATAACGCACAGTAACGCATAGTCAAGCACGCAGGTCGAACCGAAGATTTGAAGATTCACACCGTCTCTCTCTCCCAAGGTTTGTAAGAAGCAGCCGGGGTTATAACGCTAAGAAAAACCCTGAGACTCTCCCTGGGAGGCTTCTACAATTCTTGTAGCTTTCCATTAACCGTGGAAGGGTAAGCACAGTCGGTAGAGCGCTGGATTGCAGAATAGTAGTTTGGCGCGGGTTCGATCCCCGAGGCTGGACTAACTAAGGAAGAAAGTGATGTCTTTCCCTTGAAAAGGCTGAGATGACCACCCGCAAATGGCGGTTTGGCCTTCTGTAGGAGACGTAAAACAGCATCGTCTAGTGGCAACTGCGTGCTAAATATATGGGCGCTTAAACTACCCAGCTAACTGAGAACTAAATGTAGAACAGTTTTCAAAAAATGAGGCGAATGCACGAGGGACGAACGGGTTCCTTTCCTCGAAAGTGGACCTTTGCATCATACTTCAAGCAACGGTCAACGTGCATGGCATTGCAAACCCTGAATAGTAATGTCGCTGCTAGCCGTAAACACGATGTATAAAAAAATAACTCTTTTGCAGACAAAACACTGCAATGTAGTGTTTCGCTTAGCAGAAGTGGCTTTTATTCTGCTTTATAACCACGCAATATTCTCGATGTGAATGTGTGGAATGATTCGTACAACTAACAACAGGAGAAGACGCCCCTGTATCTTAGTTAAAATAAGGAGACTAGGCTTAAAGTTCACGGTACTTAACAGCAATGCTTAATCACCCTTACAACAAGTAAGGGATATTACGCAATAAAACTGACAAGACTTATTCTAAAGCCGGTAAATCTTCATGTTAACCCAGTAACCGAATTGTCCCCATTTTCGGGATACATTTAAAATAGCTGCACAACAGGGCAAGCCTTAGGCCTTAGTTCAGTTCTCCCTGTTCATACAGCAAATTCTTCAATTTATCCGGTTAACGAGATCCCGGTTGTAAGGAGAAGAATCTGGGTAACTAGAGAAACCTGTCGTTTGAAATGAACTCAAGACTTTTTTTATCAGAGAAAATAGGGGACCTTGGAAATTCTGCGTCTATTTACAGCAAGGAGCGCAAAAATGTGACTTTTAATTAACTCACATTCTTTCATGCAGGCATTAACCAATCAGAAGTTGGGGACAGTTTCAAGCTGGCTTCTGATTGGATTAAATCTGTACAAAAGAATGTGAATTAATCAAAAGCGGTCACACTTTTGGGCTACTTGCTGCAATATGGAGTTCCAAGTCTGAAAGAAACTGTGATACAGAAAGTAGTGTTACATGCTGTTGTTTACGGACCGCTGTGCAATGTACACTGTATATTCACATACCTGCCTGTCCAGTGAAGTGGTGTGACTTGGTGCTTTTGCCGATCCATATGTTGTCATAATTCTTGGATCCCTGCATGTTCTTTAAGCTGATGTTGGTGAATGTTGTACCAGGAATAAGGTTTTCCAATTTGCGCTTACGCATGAGATCAAACTCTACAAGCAATAAAACATTGAAATATCAGTCAATTTTTCGTAAAGCTATTTGCATTACCCCTCTGTAATATTTGAAATTTATTCCATTCATTCAAATTATTTCTCCGTTTCTGATTGGCTAACACCCTACGGCTAACTCTATTATAATCAGCTACCGTTGACCAAATTCAAAAGACGTCTGCCGATATCATAAGTTCAATAGACCTTTCCAGCTTGTATATTTTTTCCCAATTCAGAGCAAGGGAAGGGAATTTGGCTTTTTGTCTTTCATTAGTCATGTTCGCATATGCACATGGATGCACGTGTATAGGACAACATTTGAAAGAAACAATTCCCTGGGGCAACATCACATAGTCTGCAATGAGAAAATAAAACCTACAAGCTAAAAAGGCCTATTAATCACGCTTACAAACTACCGGTAGAAAGGCCAATTGTACTGATCATCGACAGACAAACTAGTAAGTTTCTATCATCTAACGAAAAGGTGGAATTCGACAAGCAAGAGAACTAGAAGGGTTCGCTAGAATTCTTCCTTCCGACTCTGTAACACAGGTTGGGTTTTCCGGGTTCTCGTCACGCCAGGATGAGCAAAACTAGCTGAGCGCCTGCCATCGGCCAGGGTACAATACGAACCATTTAAAACAAAAACAAAACAAAACACATATCATTGCAAAAAGGACCACATAAGGGCAGTTTTTTCGTCGTCAAGTTCCTGTGCTTAAATAATTCTCCTGATTCCTACCTTCTTCATCAGGGCCAAGATTAAAATCTCCTAAAATGATCACGTCCTTCTCTCCTAAGAATCAGAAACACATCAGCAAAAGCTTATTATGTTGAACAAGAGATAGCTAACCTGGTCTGAGCTAAAAAAAAAATGGTATGCTAAAAACACGTACATGTGATCCCAATCGATGCAGTGACCCTTTGTAGAATTTTTCAGTAAGTATAGAAACATATTTCTCAATAAGCGCTTTGGTTTTGCATGGATATTTTAGGATTTAATTATTAGCGCTAATCCAGGATTACAAATTTTGTTCCAATTTTTTATTTACCTTCCTATGCATTGCTTAGAGTAACATTCTATGTTATCATCATTGAGTCTCGCGGTAAAGACGAACACAGTATTAGGTAAGACCGAGTGACATATTCTTATACAAGAAAACCTTGCTTAAAATTTGGCTTAATCCTGGTTTAAACTTAACCATCTTTCGAGGAACCG